ACTTTCGAATGCCTAGCAAGAGTCCTCCTTAGACATTCTGTTTCAGGAGTCTTGCTCAGAAACACCCTGCAATAGACAACAGACACAGATGTTGCCAGATTTGTGAGGGTCTAGTAATCTGCTTGGTGCTTTCTGAATGCTTCTTATCACAAATCAAAATACCATTACTAAGGTTTAATATAAAAACATCTCTCTGGACAGTTTCTGCTTTAGAATATTTAATCATAACGAAAAACATTCAATCTTAAAGGACTATGTAATCCTAAAGGGAAACCAAAGCATACTCTCCCTAATGGACTATATTGAGTTTTATTACAGGAAATGGCCCTAAAACATGCTTATATTATATGTATATGACATTGAAAACCCAGATTATATAAAAAAATCACTTTAAATTCTTGATTTAAAGAGACTTATTAGCCTTAACTGGTTTGGCTCAGTGGATAGAGTGTCGGCCTGCGCAGGTTCATTTCCGGTTGAGGGCACATGCCTGGGTTAATGGGCTGATCCCCAGTAGGGAGTGTGCAGGAAGCAGCTGATCAATGATTCTCTTTCATTATTGATGTTTTTATCTCTCTCTCCCTCTCCCTTTCTCTCTGAAATCAATGAAAATATATATTAAAAAAGAGACTTATTAGACATAATGGAATATAATGTGTAGATTTTGGTTGGATCATGGTGTAAATCAATTGACATTTAAATGACAGCTGGGACATTTAAATATGCACTGAATATGTGACAATATTAAGGAATCATTTGTAATTTTGTTAGATGTGATAATGATATGGAGTTATGTAAGAAAATATACTTATATTGTGGACATGCACATGCAAACATGTAGGGAGGAAATGTCACATCTATAATTTATTTTAAAACACTTCAACAAAATATCAATTGAAGAAAATATGGCAAAATGTTAATAATTGTTTAATTTATGGGCTCATTCAGTTTACTGTAATATTTTCTCTACTGTTCTGTACATTTGAAAATTTTTATAAGTCAAAGTTTTAAACAAAATTTTTGCAAGTTGGAGTATAGTACAGTGATCTGTCAGCTAAATAGCACTGCTTTATGGTCGTAGTGGATGTTGCTTTATTGTGCCTTTTGTGCTGTGATAGTAAGTAGCAGTGGACCTGGAAACTAGATGATTTCTTCATAAAATGGAACATTACAATAAAAACAAACCAATAATCTCCCCTTCTGCCCCCAACCCCACGCTCTGATTTTGTAACTTGGCCCATGATTATGGGAAATGAAGTAGTTAAAAAGTAAAACTGAAACATGTGGAATCCAAAAGCTAGTATTTTTTTTCATTCTGGAATGTAAAGCTCTTTAATGTGTGTGTGTGTGTGTGTGTGTGTGTATGTATATATATTAGAGGCCCGGTACACAAAAATTTGTGCACTCAGCAGGGGGGGCGTGGAAGTCCCTCAGCCCAGCCTGTGCCCTCTCGCAGTCTGGGACCCCTCAGGGGATAACCACATGCTGGCTTAGGCCTGCTCCCCGGGGGATTGGGCCTAAGCTGGCAATCAGACATCCCTCTGGCAGCCCGGCAGCCCTCGGGGGATGTCCACTTGCCAGCGGGGAGCAGACCTAAGCTGCAATCAGACAACCTTAGTGCTGCTGAGGAGGCAGGAGAGGCTCCCACCACCACTGCTGTACTGGCAGCCATCAGCCTGGCTTGTGGCTGAGCAGAGCTCCCCCATGTGGGAGCTCACTGACCACCAGAGGGCAGCTCCTGCATTGAGCATCTACCCCCTGGTGGTCAGTGTGTGTCATAGTGACCAGTCATTCCCAGTCTTTCTGCTGTTAGGGTCAGTTTGCATATTACCCTTTTACTATATAGGATAGAGGCCTGGTGCATGGGTGGGGACTGGCTGGTTTGCCCTGAAGGTTGTCTTGGATCAGAGTGGGGGTCCCACTGGGGTGCTTGGCCAGCCTGGGTGAGGGGCTGATGGCTGTTTGCAGCTGGTCACACCCCTTTCAGGGTGGGGGTCCCCACTGGGGTGCCTGGCCAGCCTGGATGAGGGGCTGATGGCTGTTTTCAGGCTGCCTGCCTCTCCTTTTTTTCTTTTTTTTTTTTTAATTCTGGGATTTATTTACCTTCTATAATTGAAACTTTGTTGCCGCTCTGGCTCCGAGGCCACGGCCTACTGAAGCTGGTATCTGGGGTTTGTTTAGCTTCTACAATTGCAACTTTGTTGTTTAGAGTGGAGCTCAGAGCCCGGCCGCAGCAGGGAGGAAGCTTGGCTTCCTCCATCACTGGAGCAAGCAAGCCTCCTGCTCGCTTCAGCTGTGTGGCTGCCGGCCGCCATCTTTGTTGGCGGTTAATTTGCATATCTCACTGATTAGCCAATGGGAAGTGTAGCGGAGGTATGGTTAATTTCAATCTTTGTCTATTATTAGATAGGATATATATGTTATATTTATTTCAGAGAGAAAGGGAGAGGGAGGAGACAAGGAGAGGGAGAAAGAGAACTAGAAACATCCATGATGAGAGACAATCATTGATCAGCTGCCTCCTGAATGCTCCCCACTTGGGATCGAGCCCTCAACCTGGGCTTGTGATCTGTCTGGGAATTGAACCCTGACCTCTTGGTTCATAGGTTGATGCTCAACTACTGAGCCACACAGGCTGGGCTAATACTGTGTGTCAATTTTAGTTGACACACAGTATTAGTTTCAAGTATACAACATAGTGAGAATTGACATTTATGTAATTTACAAAGTGATCACCACAAAATGTCCAGTATCCATCAGTCACTGTACAAAATTGTGATATCATTGACTGTATTCCATTTGCTGTACTTTACACCCTTGCAATTTGTTACTAGAGGCCTGGTGTACAAAATGCGTGCATGGTGGGGTTAAACCGGCAGTTGGACATCCCTCTCACAATCCGGGATCACTGGCTTGTAACCACTTGCCTGCCTGATCGCCCCTAACCACTCCCCTGCCTGCTTGATCGCCCCTAACTGCCTCTGCCTCAGCCCCCATCACCATGGCTTTGTCTGGAAGGAAATCGGACGTCTGGAAGATGGCCGGTTGACCTGGTCTAATTAGCATATTACCCTTTTATTAGTATAGATATATTAGCATATATAAAATTATTGGCACTGTCTTGGGCACCTACATGCCAATCAATGGCCCATCTTTTTCCTTCTCTGTTCAGAGATTTTGAAGAGTTATCATTAAATCTACCTGTGATCTCTCTATAGACAGTGTGTTTTTGCTGACAGTATATGCCAGTATTGGTATTTTTTCTTATTTTTCTTCCATACTTGGTGTCAGTGGTTGCAGATTCAATATCAAAGGGAATCTTGCTGTCCCCTTTCCTCAATACTAGTAAGCTGTTGAATACCAGCACCTCATTTTTTAAAAAACAATGACTATATGGAGGTATCTTGCTTTGGGGGTTAAAAATAAAGTCCTAATATCTCATTATCAACAATGGACAGCCACTGGAGCTCCTGCTGTGTAAGGTACTGTTGAAGGTGCTGTTGTGGGGTGAAAGGTTGTAGTGGTGGAATGCACAGAACCAGAAGACCAAGTCTTTGTCTTCAGCAGTTGGCAAACTTTGCGGAGATAGGAGAAACAATTACTGTGGAAAGTACTGTATGTGATGACCACCCAAATGAGTGCCACGGACTGCAAGTGTGGTACAAATTCAGAGTCAAGAGATTGTTCCCATCTGGGGCCATCATAACTTCATGGAGCATATAAAGGAGGTAAAATTTTGACAGGGAGAGAGAGAGAGCAAGAAACTCCTTTTGTGTGGACCAATGAGTATACCCAGAAGCAAGGAGTGTTTGGATAACTATGAATTGGCAAGTTTGGCTGGAGGGAAGATTTCCTATTGGGACGAGCATGTTGAGTCTAAGAATTTGGATTATGGTAAAAACTGGGGAAGCAGTAAAGGTTTGGGACCATGAGTAAGGCTATGTGTTAGGAGCTCAATCTGACAGTGTTGACCTCAAGGGAGGTTGAGATTAAGACAGGAAGATCAATTGGGAAATCACTGCAAAATAGTTTAAGTGGGAAAGGAAATAAAAGTTAAATTTGGGTAATGACAGTGGGAGTAGAAGGAAGGGATGATTACAAAACACACTGTAAAAAAAAAAGAACCAATTAGATCTGATGACTGCATTTAGGTCCTCTTTGAAAGAGAATAGGAAAATTCACATGAATTTGTATCATTTCATTGATGCAAGCAGTCAACTCTAAGTTTAATATGTCTAATATGACTCAATTGAGAAACTTTGAAAGAAAACTTTTCATGATTAACTTATAGGAAAACTAGCCCCACACTTATAATTAGTAAACTGTTACACAAATCCTAAGAATGAGCATTCACTTCCAGGAAGGTGGTGGTATGGAAGGGGAAAATGTGACCCGAGACTTTAGCAGAATCTATTGGTTCATAAGTGGAATGTAACAGTACTTCCAAAAAAGTAGTAATAGTTTAGGGGAGAGGCACCTGGAGGAGAGTCATGTAAAAAGCTGCCTCGAAAGGATGTCCTTCAGTGGAGGACAGACCTGGCTCCAGAGGGCTCTTCAAGGGAGAGCTGGGAGCAAACACTCTGGCCTTACTCTCTCCCCTCCGTCTCTTGCTGATCTTCCTCTCTCCCATCTAGATGGCAAGGGAGCATGTTGGTGTGCTCCACACCGGCCAGCCTCCTGGGGCAGATGTCGGGAAAGGGAAGGGCAGAGAGGAGAACTGGGTGCAAACAAGGTGACAGTCACATCCTCTTCACAAAGCATAACAACATGGGAGAAAGGCCTGGAGGAAGTTCTTCATAGAATCATAAAACGTTAGAGCTAGACTTAAAATGAGACATGTAGACTTTAAAGAATTCTCTCAGTGAAGGAGAGACCTATATAAAGTCTAAGGTATTGATAATGAAGACAGAAATGCAAGTCCTCAATAACTGTACTTTTCTTTGCACTGGGTTGTCCAGTAACTATTTCTAACCTTGTTGCCCATCCCCTTTCTTCCTAAGTGCTCATCTTCAAACTGTACCAGCGGGCCAAGCACGTGTACAGCGAGGCTGCGCGAGTGCTCCAGTTTAAGAAGATCTGTGAGGAAGCACCTGACAACATGGTCCAGCTGCTGGGGGAGCTGATGAACCAGAGCCACGAGAGCTGCCGGGACATGTACGAGTGTAGCTGCCCTGAGCTGGACCAGCTGGTGGACATCTGTCGGTGAGGCTGAGACAGCAGCGTGGCAGGGGTGGGGGGATGCTGCCAAAGCAATTGTTTGAATTAATGAAAAAAAACCACACCACATTTTCATGGCCTTCTGAGTGAAAGATGATCCTTGCCCATTTCCTGTATGAAGAGTTGTGTGTGATATGGAGCCGACCTTGCTCCTTCCTGGACGTCTGTGTGATGAGAGACTGGAGGCCTCCTCCACGCTTCACGAGTGGTTCCTTCAGAACATCCCGGGAAAGACATTTCAGGGGGCTTTTCTCAGACATGGCCCCTGTTACCTTCTCCTGATAGTTCACCCAGTGCTGCCCACTGCACTGCGGCTCTACCAACATCTCCTGTTTGGTGTCCCAAGTTTAGTTTTATTCAAAAGAACAGAAAATGGAAAGGGAGCCTCAAGCCTAATAGGATGCTGGGCTAGAGGGAGGTTGCTGAAGGGATTAACTCAGAGAGCCAGCATTTCCTGCCTTCCCGGTTTGTTAGGCAATTTGGGGGAATAAAGATGAGAAAGCCCAGTTTATGAATGGTTGGTGAGACAGAGATGTAAAGAGGGAAACTTTCAGGGAGCCTGTGACCAGTTCGTTTGTAATTGCTGGTGAGTTGGGGGAACAGAGGAGAATGGTCCCTTTGCCCAGAGGGATCAGTGACCTTGGGAGAACTGAAAGGGAAACTGGGCACACTGTCAAATGGCTACATGTTGTTTTCACTGTGAGAAGATAATACATGAAGAGAATATGAGAACTGCCTGCAATTAGCAATGAAAATATAATTTGCCACTTGGCGCCTATGGCTTGCCTCACTCATTGCCACACCCGCAGCCTGAAGAGTTTAAACCAAGCAGCCCCAGTGATTGCACATGGCATGTGTCACCCGACTGGCTGAGAGATTTGAACAGAGCATTGATGACAATGACTCTGCTGTCGTCAGTGTTTGCTCACTAATTGCCAGGAAGCCTTCCTGAGCTTGTTTCACTGTAAGTGCTCTTTTCAGAAAATATCAAGGGTCCAGGAAATGGAAGGCGACAAATATCGTTCAGTTCTGGACATAAGAGGAAGAGAGATGGTTTGTGCAAAATCAGGAAGCGTCACTGCCTGTAAGGTAGTGGGGTGGTTTGAATCCTACCTGAAAAGCAGTGGAAGGGCATTTGCTAGCCTCCTGCAATTCACTAATGAACTTTTTCTTCCTGGGATGGTCCACAAGCTATGGCTCTTGTGGAGCTTATATTCTCACAGGGAAAGAAGGAAATGACAAAAAGAAATCAGATGGCAGTGATAAGTGTTATGAAAAAGAAGAAGAAGGGATAGAGAGTACCAGGGCTGAGGGGGAAATCTTTATATGGAATGGCTGAAGGAGTCCTCTCTGAAGAGACAGTATTTGAACAGAGACCTGAAGGAAGTGAAGAAATAGCATAGCAAGTAGATAGGTCCTGAATGAGCATGTGGCTGTCATGTGAGGTACAGTAAGAAGACCAGTGTGGTTGGAGGACAGTAGAGGAAGGACAGAGTAGTGGGTGATGAAGGAAGAAGGGTGGAAGGAGCCACACCACGTGGGCGTTGGGGGCCATGGAAGCGCTCTGGCTGAAGGGAGAAAGGCGAGTGGAAGTGCTAAGGTCCTGTGCAGATGCCTTGAAGGAAGACTCAAGACGATCGCTGTGTGGGTGAAAGACAGGATGCGAGATGACTCCTGGATTTTTGGCCTGAGAAAATGTCCTTCTTTCTATAAAAGCCACATTTTTGGAAGTCAGACTTCACATTTCTGAGTCAGAATGATCTTAAGATACCGTCAGATATGAGAGCAGGAAGAGGAGAGAGAGAGAGGTGCTAGTGCTTAAGTGCTGTGACCAGTCAGTATAGTGAGGCTTTGGACAGGAGGAAGGCTGGAAAGGGGTCGGGAGCATCGCCAGAGATAATGGTTAGCTTTCCCTCCTGGTCCCCTTGTGGCACTGTAAAATTCCTTTAGTTTTCCTGAAGGCCTGCTTGGAAAGTATTTGCAAAAGACAACTAATGGGTTAAGTGAATGAAGGATTCCTGTGCCTGGAATACTCGGGGCACTATTACATGCTAGAACCTTCATGTGCTCTGAGCCAGACTGCATGGAAAGGTGCCTCTACATAGCCAGTCTATCGGACAACATAGAAGCTGCTTTCTGACTCGGATGGAGAGAAGGGGAGAAGGATAGCGGCCACCAGTGCTGGCTTTTTTCTCAGTGGAGCCTTTTCCTGTTCCTCAAGAGAAAATCCATTGAGGATCCAAAGAAAATGGGCAGTGGGGGGGAGAAGGAAACTACACTCCTGCAGGGAGTCTGTTTACTTATTTTTATTAAATTAACATTAGAAGACCTCAATTATGTGAAACAAAGTACAGTATAATAATGAAGGAAAAAGATGAAGCTTGCCCAATGATAAAATAACTCTTTTTAAGGAAAATGTAAATTTTAAGAAACAGCTGAATTTTAAAGTAGGATTTGCTGAGGAACACAAAAGAGTTTTGAAACCAAGTCAATTACATGAGAAACCGCTCATTCACTATTGGTTTCCCTGGTTGCACTTAAGGAAAAACAGTTAAGGCCATTATTTATAAGTTGACACTTGTTGAAATAAGGAGGACTCAGTGTTGCATTACTGCCCAAGCTGTTAATGACACACTTTAATAGACCAACAAAGGTTACAAAAGTAGAAGTGCTGTCTTCCTCAGAAGGCTTTCCACAGCGTTATTCCCCCCAAACTGCTCAGCCTCCAGTGCCTGTTCTCCTGAGCAGGTCCCAGAGGGAGGAGCGAGGTGCACACCACAGTCCTGGGCCCTTTTCCCACCAGCTCAGGTGCTAACCTGAGCTCTGCCCAAGGAAGGCAGGGAGCCCTTCCCGCTGCCCTCGGGCTCACTTCTCTTTGGGCCTCTGTCTTCCACTTTCCTGCACCTGCCAGATGATAGATAGATAGATAGATAGATAGATAGATAGATAGATAGATAGATAGATAGAGATAGATAGATAGATAGATATAGATATACTATAAGCTAGAACCAACCCAACTGCTCTCCAATGGCCTTTAGCAGCTTCATTTCTAAGGTAGACTTGTAGTCATATTTTCTTATACTTTTTCATCTAAACAGTATTTGAAGTCTGTGATTTCTTGAATCTAAAGTTATCTGAAAGCAGTTCTAACCTGGCTGTAAAAATAATATAAGCAGTTCTGGAAGGTCTGTTTTTCTGAGATTCTAGTCAGAACATTTTAGGCTTCAGAGCAGATGCATGAAGTATTTCCAGGTGAAGGATCTATTACTGACTGCTTATGATTATAGTATAGGCATTCAGTATAGTATACCATACTGACTCCATGGCGTGGCTGCAGCCCAATTGCCCCCAACTGCTCTCCCCTGCCAGCCCAGTCACCCCCAAAAAGCCCTCCCTGGAAAGCCTGATCTTCTTCCTTTGTTTTTCCCTGTTGTTTGTGTGTCCCTAATTGTTCTTTTTTTATGGTTTGATCGGCTGGACTGCTTTTTTTTTTATGAATATTGTGGTTGCCTTGTTGATACCATTTTTTTTTTTTTATATTTTTTTTATCCCCTAGCCTATATTTTAACAATAAAAAAAAAGAAAATAAGGCGAGTAAATAACCGGGGAAAATATTAAAGTAGAAAGGTGAAAATATAATTTAAAAGATTTCGTGGCTGCGATGTTGAGTTTCTTTTATATTTTAATGCTTTTTTAAATCATATGCTAAG